TATATATATATATATGAGACCGCAGTTTGGATGACGGTGCTTTGCCTTGTTTGTTTGTTGGTGCTTTCCTATCAGGCCTGGTTTATCCGTTGGGGCTTTTCCGTCAAGCGGGAATGGGATGTATTAACGTTAGTACTGCTCGGGGCGTGAAATTCTACTAGGATGGGTGTTACTATCTTGGAACTGGGGTTGGGAGTGTGAAACATCATGAAGGTCTGGGTGGGCGGTGTGCAGTCTCAAACGTTGGTTTATATCCTGGAGCAGAACGTGGTGATCTAGATGGGGGTGCTGTAGTTGGTCATACGCTCAGCAAGCACAACCTTGGAAGGGTTTTCGTTGGCAATGACCTTGCAGTAAATGTGAGAGACAGCCTTAGATGCCAACCTCTTGCTGAGAGCACCCCGTTCGAATCTGCGGCTGTGCATTGTCCTGGTTGAGACTTTTCTTTTTTTGGAGGGGGAAAGAGTAGAAAAAGGTACCAAGGAATAAAGCTACGGTATAAACAGTTTACCATGCCCGCTTATATTCTCAATGGAATGTGCGAGCTAGGTTGCTCGAGTAGGAATTTTATGCTCGGCGTATCGTGTAGATAAGTAAGTTCTGGACGTGAGAAATGTCAACGTCACACAGTCTTTACCAAATAAATGCGTCAGTGGTGTAGTTGGTAACACGGTCAGCTTGAGGCGCAAGTGCGGAAGGGGTTCGTCTGGACTATGACCTTGCAGTGTGAGAGAGTCTCGGGCCCCGTCCTCTTGCTGAGAGTGCCCGGTTCGAGTCCGGGCTGCGCCTTGTTCTGGTCATTCTTTTTATGCCAGGCGATGGATCAGTCCTTTCAAGAGGGCGGGCGTCAAAAATGGGCGTGCGATGTGGGATGGAAAGGGGGGTCCAACTGTTCCCAGAGAATTGCTAAATAACTCAAGCCCAGACTAACATGTTACCTGCGTCCATGAAGAGTGAGCCTAGATTAAACCACTGACCATTGCTGTCGTGTCTATTCCTTCAGTCTACCATCTATAACGTAGCCAACGAATAACATGAGCAACCATCAATGACTCAGACCTCAGTTAGGCACATGCTTGCTCTCCAACTTCTTGGCGCCCTCGATCCCGCCCAGGTCCTTCTCAAAGTCCGGGCGCGGCAGCTCAAAAGCCTCGGTCTGTCTCCCATACGTGATGCCTCCCAGCCTAGAAATCGGCCGCAGCACCTACAGCACCCAAGTGAGTCAGCATAACCCCCCTATCACATGTGACTTAGAACGAGCAGAAAACTCACCTTATCATCAAGGATATTCTTCTCCTCATTCACGGCATCCTCCCTCGCCCAGAACCGCGTCCCCTCAATAACCGCCAGCGTGGCCGTCACCTTCCCCGGCGTCGCGCGGCTCTCAAACTCGCGCACGCTCTCCAGCTTCCCCTCAATGGCAAACACGGCCTCCTTGACTCGAGCACACCCCACCGTCTCACAATCGTACACGGGCGTCAGGCCGCTGACGTCCCACTCGCTGACGCCGTAGGGCGCGTTGATGCTGGTGCTGTTGGCGGCCTCGACAAACCCTTCAGAAATCATGTTGATGACGCACTCGCGGCGCTCGTGCAGGTTGCGCAGCGAGTCCTTGGCGCGGGCGGCGTCGAGGGCCGAGGCGAAGCCGACGACGAAGAGCGGCGGGTCGTGGCCGATCAGCTGGAAGTAGCTGAACACGGCGAGGTTGGTGGTGGCGCCGTCGGCGGAGCGCGTGGACAGGAAGGCGATGGGGCGCGGGACGATGGCCGAGATGAGGAGCTTGTAGTTGAACCCCGCGGGGCGGTCCGGCGCGTACGGGTCGATGGGGATGTGCTTCTTTTCCGTGTCGGCTGGTGGGGTGGTGGCGTTGGCGCCGGAGCCGAATTGCCAGTTGGGGTCCGGGGTTTGGGTGTAGGTGAGCGTGGTGGAGGGGTCGAAGGGCGGGCGCGAGGCTTCGACTTTTTTGAAGTCCGGGTGCGGGTTGCGCTGGATCTGCTTCTCCCAGGTGGCCGTCTTTTCGGCTGCCATGTTGACTGTCAGAGTTAATGGTTGCTTTAAATTTTTGTTGGTGTTGAGACTGGCAAGCCTCCTGGATTGGGGTCGGGGGATGTAAATATTGGTGAAAGTGGCCCGGCAATAGGGGCGAAGGCGGGGGAGGGGCATTCGGGCGGAGACCGGAGAGCGCTGAGTGAGAGCGCTTGCCGTCGGGTAACGGATTGCGGGACGGCGGCCGGGTGGGTGTGGGTTCGGGTTCGGGTTAGCAGAGAAAGAATGAGAATGGATGGCTGGGCGAGAGATGGGACGGCTCGGACTTGGTTATGATGAGTTGCTTGACTTGTGTCCATGCATCCGGCAGCAACACCGGCTAGACCGGGATACTCGGCCGGCCCGCACCGTTACCGGCCGGGGGGTTGTGGAAACGGCGCCAAGCCGGGCTTCCGCTTGCTCCCGGTTCGGCATCACACGGAAAGCCCCGGCGCTGGGATCGGACTTTCAAACTCAAAAACAACCACTCGCTAACGATCCGGCGATGGGAGAGCCATCTTAATCGCTGCGCGGGATCGCTTGGACACCACGACGCGCTCGATCGCGCGTCTTTTCCACGTGGCGGACAGACGACCTTGGACACTTATACTAACCCTAACCCAGGAAAAGCGATCCAACCTCGCTCATCCATTAACGGGAAGGCTAGGACTCAGGGGCTCCTTATTCTCCTTGCGCTTAATGTGCTTTTATATCATCGGAGTCGGGGAGTTTCAATACCTGGTATCTTCAAAGAGCTTCCCGGACCACTTCTAAGCCCACAAGTCAAACGACTCAACTTCTTCCATACCCTTAATAAGGTCTGATTTTCCTGTTTGAATGATCTTCCAACTCATCATCTAGCCGCCCGCTCGAATCAGGTTGAGAGGCCTTGCCGACGGCGGATGCGGTGGTTCCGGGTGCTTTACTTTACCCCAAGTCAAGGGTTGTTCTCGGATATATTAATCAATAGGGAAATACCAGGCCGGCACCCCTCAGATAATCCTCGAGTAAGATTCAGATCACTACAGCCTTTCCCTATTCCCGGTTACTACGGTGTGAAAATACTGACTAGGAGTGATCCCGTGGCGAATGTGTGTTTATATAACGTGCTGCTCTATGCCGCCTCCTCGTTTTCCCTCCGAGATCCTTGATTCCTTACTCCTCTTAACTTCACATTTAACTCCCAGAAAACCAACCGCCACAATGAAGCCCCTCACCCACTACCTCGCGACCCTCCTGCTCACCTCCTCCCTCCCCTCACTCACCACCGCCAAGCACATCGTGATCCCCTCAACCTCCTTCACCTCCCAATCCGCCTTCGACACAGACTGGAACTACCTCTACCCCTGGGGCAGCGACCACAACGGCGCAGCCCGCATGGCCAAGTCCCAAGCCTCTCTCGCCAACGGCGTGCTAACCCTCACGGCGCGGCGCGCCGACGGCGAGAAACCGGCCTCGCACGGCGGCAAGCAGATCGCCATCCGCTACCTATCAGGCGCCGTGCACGCCAAGGAGCACTTCACCGTGTCCCCCGGCGGGGGGTACGACTTCGCGGGCGAGTTCCGCGCGACGACGACCAAGGGCACGTGGCCTGCCTTCTGGCTGACGGCCGTGCAGGGGTGGCCGCCCGAGGTGGACATGGCCGAGTGGAAGGGGAGTGGGAAGATCTCGTTTAATACGTTTAATACCTCGTCGCAGGTCAGGGCGAGGGACGTGGCGTATCCGAGTGCGGGGGATTTTCACAAGATTTTGTGTGAGGTGAGGGATGTGAATGGGCGGGATGTGAGCGTCAGGTTTTGGATGGATGGGAAGGTGATTGAGACGCAGTATGGGAAGGGGTTTGTGGGGAAGGCGATGTATTTGTGAGTTTTTTTTCCCTTTCTTTTTTTTCTCTTTTTCTTTTTTTCGTTTCTCTTCTTCCTTTTTTTCTTCCTTTTTTTTGGTTTCCGTTTTTCTATACGGTTGAATAGGGAATGGAATTAAAGTTGACGATGGTGGCAGGATTATCAACCTCCAGATGGAGGGCTCTTCGGGGTCGCCTGGGCCGAACTCAGGTGAGTCCGACAGCTGAATGAAGGTGATAGGTTACCTTTACTGACACACCCGTTTGAAAACAGACACGCTGTTCCAAGCCCGAAATGTAGAGGTTTGGAGTTACAACTCATAACATGGAGGCCGGGAGTGAGTGGGTGATCACTGCATCTTCTTGGGTTAGGAACAGGATTTAGGTAAGGAACCGTTGGCATCGGAACCCTGATGTAAGAATCTAGGAGAGAGGCGGCGGCAATATTCGTGGAAATGTTGTATGTGAAATACTGCAAGCTGCCGTACCTCCTCGAAATCTCGTCCAACACGTACCAAATGCCGCCCAACTCTTACAAGTCCTTCATCAAGCAAACGCGCACAAATCGCGGCATGTTCGGGCATATTCTACATTTCCCGGCCGCGGCAGAAACTCTTTTCACTTCTGACCTCAGAAACTTGGGGGCCGTGCCGGCTCGAGGCCGGGTCGTCATCTCGCGTGGTGCTCAGCCTCGAGGACTCTCGTTCGAGAACGGCCGACTTGGCTTTTTGGACCCGTTGCGACGTGACACTGGGCAGGGCCGCAGTTCCGGGCTGCCCCGCAGTGCAAATTTGCGATCGGCGTGCCGTCGAGGACTCGAGGGGGCCAGACTCGCGGCGCCGCATCCCAAGTCGAAGCAAGCCAAAGCCAACCCGATTCCTGCAAGCTGTCGGGTGCGCTGCTTTCTCCCGCTTTCGACGAGTGCCGCGACAAACTGCTCAGGTCTGGAGGCGCAGGAGCGATTGAAACGGGCTTGGCGATGCGCGGACCGAGCAGCCAATCAGCGGCCGGAAATTGGCGCTATGCGCCCCGGGCTAGCGCGCTAATTATGGAGCAGGCGAAGCTGCCCAGGTGGTGCAGGAGCCCCAATCGGTCGGCAGTGCGCAACTAACTCCCGTCACACTCCATGCGATTCTGCAACTCACTCCACTGTCCGTCGTCGTCGCCGTCAACAGTGTCCATCAGCCGGCCAGGACGGGCAAACCAAGGGAATCAAGCTCACATCAGCCTTCGTCCCATACAGTTTATTGCTATGACTGCTCGGGATGGAGGGGCTGGATGACTACCACTTGACATACCCGGCCTGGTTTGGGGGCTGAGCCGGACACAGTGCAACGCCGACCCAACACGTCCGTCTTCAACTCGACGCCACCCCCAGTCCCCAGCACGGATGGGCTGCGTGCTTGGTGCTTGATCGAGGCCACCCAGACCAGGCTGACTGCGACAGTTCTGGCACCGAGAACGGGGCAGACCGCTGCACCGCGGCGGCACAGCGGCGCATGAGGATTGGCGAAGGGGAACTTTGGAGGCGGGCTCCGTAGGGCAGAAGCACACGGGAGTTTCTTGCTGTTGGACGCCCGCCCGGCTCGCCGGCCTTCCTGGTGCACTGCGTGGCTCACGCGGGAGCGGGTCCCCAAACACCGCAAGGGGGGCTCCAGCTGCTCGCCTGGCCGTCCAATCGCGGGCCCTTGCCCCTTCAGCCCATCGCGCTCTCGAACCAACCGGCCCAGGGCCTGCTGGTTCGCCCAGTTCACGCATTGCTCCAGCTCTCGTTCATCCACCTCGCCGATCCACCCATCCCGCCTGCGAGCAGCGAGACAGCTCTGCCGCCCACATTTTCATCCCAACCGAGCCGTTGGTCGTTTGTCCTGCGTCAGGTTTCATCTGAACATTTCCCGCCGCTTGTGACGGTCTGAAGCAT